TCTAATGTCTTCAAGATAAGATTAGGCCCTAATACTCATCTTCAGCCTGCTGTTAAAACTGCAAACCCAGGAAAAAACTGATTTGCATCTTGTTGATTTTTAGCATTAATTAGGTAAAAAGACCATTTTCCCTATCCTGTAATAGTTGTCAAGGACTATATGGAATTTTTTAACTTTTAAAAATCATTATAGTATTTTTATTCTGTGTCAAGTATCATTCCATTGGTGTGCATGTTATGAAAAGTTAATAAATAAACAATTTAGCCCCTCCCCCAAATGAAAACCCTACAAACATTTAGACAGAAAATGTCAGTGGAGAATTATTTTTTGTTTGCAGAGAACAAACAGTTGATATCCGTTTGTTGGATTTTTGTTTTAGCTGATTTCCCGCAGAATGCTAAGAAAAGATGAAGAAGAGGACGAGGAGGAAGATGAAGATGATGAAGAGGAGGATGAGGAGGACGAATTTGATGCTACTAAGGAAGTGAGATAACAAAGCTGTTCTAAGAAGGGTTTTTTTATTAAGGGGGGGGGAAAAAGCCCTTTACCTAAAGGCTTTTGTATGCTGGATCTAGAATTTCACTGGGGTTATATATTTAGAATTCAAGCAGGAGCAAGAATCAGTACGGATTCTAGAGTGCCAGACTATAAATGACTGGTTTCAAAGAATGGAAGAAAATCCACTGAAAGTGGACAGTTTCAGTAGCTAGAAAATTAAATATTTAAATTGATGCCTGTATTATATTTGCATAAATGTTATACTGTAATCACATTTGCTCAAACTTATGTAATGAACAGTGTCCAAAAACTGCACTAAGCTTTCAAGCAGTTACGAACATAGTTTTCTCATTACTTTGCCAAGATATTACCTCTCTATTTATACACCTCTTGAATTTATTAAGTACTCTAGCTGTAACTGTTATAATTGGGTTTATACATCCTAAAGTAATGTAGTAATTAAGAAACTGTTTGCAGCAACAACCTGTTAAGATTTCATTCTGCTATCCACTCTGGATGGCCGAAGGCAGGATGAGGTGTACTGTTTTTCTTTTCATTTTCCTCAGGCTTTCATGAGGTTCAGATGACTTTTGATTCCTTTACACATACAGAATGAAGTCGTAAATAAGGACCTGGCCCAGTATCTTATGTTCAATGCTGCTTTGCTTTTAAATAAAAGTGCCTTCATGATAAAACTAGTGGATATTTTATGTAGTTGTTTATTATATTAGTTGACATGCTACACATAGTTCAAATTTCATGTGTTTAGCTACATGATTCAGTTACTGGTTCCGTCAAACATACAAGAAATTACACATTTTGAGTGTAATTTCTTACCCTGTTTGGATATAGAGGTTATATGTGTTAATTTTTTAACACAGTATAGTTGTCTGCCAGAAAGCTGTTACTACACTGCTCACCTCCAGTATCTGCTAAAGAACAAATGCAGAAGAATTTAAACTTGCCATTGGGAAAGCAATTTTAAGTTGTAACAAAATCTTTCAGTTGCAGAAATAAACCAGGAAGTGCATTTATAGTATTGATGCTACTTTTGTCCACTGATGGAAAGAATGCAATGCATACCTGCTTTGGCATGCCAAAAATTAATGTGATGGAAATAAATGAAAAGTTCACAATACAGGATTCTGTTTAAAACCCAGAAAATAATTTTACACCAGCATTACATACCAATGTCAATTGACATTGAATTACTGCTGTAATTGCCAGCAGTAAATGCCAACGAGCAAAACTTTTAAAAGCATCTACACAATTATTTCCCATCTATTTCAGCAAATAAGACACTTCAATAAATAGTTGTATCACGTCAGAATTATGGTGATCACTACTTTACCATTTCACACGCAATGAAGTAGTTCATCTCCAAAACAGATGGCTAACTTCATAACAATTTCAGGTTTTCATATAACATACATAGATACAGATAGCAAGTATTTGTGTACTATGCCTTGAGAAAGCAATTCTGAAAAAAAGGCAGTTTTGTTTACATTAATTTCCCTCTAAAAGATGATGCAGTTCACAAACATAAACTTTGTTCTTCCTAAGTCACAAAGAAAAGTCAATTTCAGGAATCACAGAAAAATTTCCAGAAAAAAAGTACAGTGTTGGGTAACTTTGTCCTGCATGCATGATGTCTTAACTTTGCATGTTGCACAGAAATTGTGACTTCAAAACTACAGATGAAAAGTCCCTGGTTAAAATACTTCACAGCCAGAATAACAAGTTAGGTTGTTAGTAAAGAATTAAGACACTTCCACAAAGAATGTTTCTCATGGTACGAGTGCATACTGCAAGACTGACTTGCAGTTATTCCATTCACTCATTTGTATTTTTTGTAACTGGCACCTACACGATGCAGAAATGTATCCATTCTTGCCTGGACTATTTTGCCTCTCTGTTGAACACACTGACACATTCCTTTGGGATTAGGGGTGCTCCTCAGACTGTCCTGTTAGATCTTCCTTCAATGTCTCAAGCTGCTTTCATAGGTTATCACTGTTTCTAGTTTTTGACAACAGAAGCTCTTTCACATCAGAATTTCTGGACAATGGTAGCAACAGCAACTTCAGAGACGGCATAACTAAGGAAACTTGCTGCGTTTTAGATAAACATCACCAACTGTAGCATTTCATTTGTTACTCACTATATGGGTGGTACTTAAAAAGGAAGAACAGTATTTCAAGCCACATAATTATAGACAGTTTCTGATTTGTCCTTTGTACTGGAAATACAATGCCTCCAAACCACTAAACATCTGATGTTATAAAATCCTATTATCAGGAAATGCTGTCATCACATCATGCACCTCTACTATCTATGCAGAATCAGAATATAATGCCATGGGGCATTATAGAGGCAGGGGGAACAGAGGAAGATGGACACAGACCCAAAACACCAACCAGATAACAGCTATAAACTAAGAACCAACTGTCCTATCATTATTTAACTGATGTACTTACTGGCATCCCTTCCCAAGTTTCCTGTGCTTCAGTGCATCTGTACATACTTTGATATACAGCTCTTTATAGACCTTGGAAAAATAAATTTTTTTGGTCTATCAATCAAACATTTCAGGTTAGCCTAAACTAGTCATAAACTCTAATCTGGCTTTAAATTAAATACAAATCCGCTACAGGGCAAACAAAAGACCATCTTGTAATGCCTTAATTATGACCTCTGCCATTACAAGCTTTTTGATACTTTTTATATGTTCACTAAGGGGGAAAAAGAGTCTGCTATCTGAAAAACTAATGGTATCTTATCAGCAATTACTCTTAACCTTTTCTGAAAACAGACAATTTTTTTTCTGGAAGATAATCTCACACTTTACTGGCAAAGCATTCTACTAAACCTTCTTACCTTTCCAGCCTCCAAGTTTGAAATCTCCTATTGTCTAATAAGTAGAAGTGCTTTAAAAATATACAAACCATCTAAAACTGATTAACTGGAGAAGTTTGTTGTATTCACATTTTCAACACAGCTTAGTAGTAAAGACACTAGCTAACAAAAACAGTGACAATGAAGTTTCCCACATGATGGTCAGGGAAGTTTACTTTGAGGATTCTCACGTCTTTATTTTCCGTGCATCTTCTGGCTCCTTGATCTCTTTTACAGTAGCTATTAAATAAAGCACAAAATTGTTGGGTTTTAATTCCTTTTAAGTTCAGAGGACGATTCAAAACTGAATGATTCTGAAGCTAATTCCTAAAGCAAGTATCAGTATGCTAAGTGTTAAGAATTTGAAAACTTGGCCATTACAGTTCTTTGCTCAGAGTAATCTACATATACAGACCTTGCATTATCATTCAAAAAGCTTCTTCCTTGGCACTTAAAACATAGAACAAATAATATGCAGGATAAAGCTACACTAACCTTTTAAATATTACAGAACAAAAAATTTCATTCATTTTGTTTGCTTGTACCAAACAGTTGGCATGGAAGTTCTGCAATCATGATGATGACTTCACACAAAGTAATTATGGTCTGACCACCAGTGACAGGGGATCATTCACTGGAAAGGCTGACCAGACAGCTCTGTCCTTAAAGCTATTAAAGATGCAACAGACAAGGCCTTGAGTAGCCCATTCTAGCTGAAACTTGCTTTGAGGAGGGAATTGGAATAGAGACCTCCCTACTTCATGAATTTAGGAATTTTGGGTATTGAACAACCAAAGTTAAGTTTTCACTGCTAAGTTGCAACTTTGTTGTCTCAGTTTGAGGGGACTGAGACTTAATCCTTTAGTACTACAGATACTACCTTGCAGTTGCAATGTCAAGGAAAGTCCTTGCCCACACAAAGTTTCCTACTAAGCCTTAATTCTGAAGACACAGCTTTTCCAAGCTACCTTTTTTCTTGCTAAAATTTAAATATGCTGGTAACAAACCAGTGAAAACAACACATTCTAAATGCTGACATAAGCATTTATTACATTAGAAAATAACACACTTGGTTGTCAGCTTGGTTGCCAGTGACAGATGCTAGTTAAAATTAATCAGAGATTGACCTGGAATGCATCCAGACATCATTAGCCAGTTAGTATTCATATTATGCAGCATGTGAAGATAAAACAAAACCTGAAGTCAGAATTCTTGATCTAATTCCAACATTCATTTTCTGCCTCAAGGTACTACAGTGAGTGAGAAAAAAGTCTTAACTGATGAATAGAGCCTCTGCAATCTCTATAAACTACCCATCCTCTGCTTTGCCATCTGTGTTGACAAACTACCAGTTCACTCTTTCCAGAGGAAGCAGCAAGCAGCATTCTCAACAAGACCCAGATCTCATCACCATAATAGCTGACATCATTAACTATACAAGTTTTAAATATAAGACACACATTTAAATGGCAGTTTCCTTTTTATTTTAAGAAAGTTGCACAGCCAGCTAATAAGAACAGGAAGCTTTTTAAACAGGAATGCCTGCAAACACATGAAACCGAATAAAACCTGAAAAGTTTACACAAAAAGGAAACAAAAAAAATAAGTATTTTTTAAAATTTTATTAAACTAACCTCATTAAGTGTCATTTATTAATGCAGGTAGCACTGAAAATCTTCTATTTGAACCGTTTGTGTGGTCAGTCAACCAGCACTTATGTTTTTATTTGATGCAAAGACATGACTGGAATTAATCTAAAAGAAAAAAAAAATAAACAACAACCCAAACCTTTGTAACTCCATCCCTTTATACCTTGATGTAAGACATTCAATGTCCTACAGGTATTTCAACCAAGAGCTAAACAACTGAACTGGGTATTATTTACAACAGCTGATGGAAACCGTTATGCATCTTCCAGTAATTAAAAAAAATAACTGTCAATACTGTCAAACCTAGAATGTGTTATTAAAGCATCTTTTCCTCCTTTACAGCAAACTCAACTTAACTTTCCGTGGACCAATGGGCCTATCATTTAGTTCATTAATAGCAGCCATAGCTTCCTCATAGTTTGTCATAGCAACGATGGCATCACCAGAAGGTAATCCTTGTTCATTGTACTGCACAGAAACCGACTCCGGTATCACTCTGTAGCCATAGAAAAAATCCAGAATCTCATTAGGAGTAGCTTTAAAAGGTAAGTTTTTCAATAGAATAGGAACAACACGTTCAGAACCACCACTGAAATTTGGATCTGGCATAAATCTTCCTTCAGGAAAATTTCCCATTTTATTATTCCCAAACTCCATTCTGCCAAAAGGTTCACTGTCACCACCAAAATCCATGAGGGGTGGTGGACCCCTAAAATCCTTAGGAGGGCACATGAAGTCCTCAGGGGGATGTCTAAATTCAGAATGATGCCTGAAGTTCCCAGGGGGACCAAATGAATGCATGGGTGGCCCTTGTGGTGGCCCAGATGGTGAACCAACTGGACGGGAGAGTTCAGCTCTGTCATACAGATGTGAATGACTGTGCATTTCATTTGGAGCAGATAATGGTGCAGCTACACCAAACTTCTCCATCTGATCTTGAGATATTAGTCTTATTAATACTTCTGTTCCCAAAAAAGTTTGACGATTTAAATTTTCTGCTTTCATAGCTTGTTCTTCAGATTTAAACTTCACTAGTGCTTCTCCCAGTCCAACTCCTTTTTCATCATAGAGCAAGTAAATATCATCTTCATCAATATCAAATCTTGCAAAGAACTTTTGCACTTCAATTTTTGACACATCAAATGGAAAATTCCTTACATAAACACAAGTCTTAGGGCTGGAATGACCTTCCCGGTAACTTTTTTCTGATATGGCCTGTCCAAAATGATCTCTGTCTGGTGATCTTTTCCTCTCACAAGAGTCAATTATTTTCAACATTGACTTTCTTGAAATTGGAAAAATGTACACAGGACGATTGAGAAGAACCTTTCTATGACATTCCAAAGCAGCCTGATATTCTCTCTCATTCCTTAATACCACAAAAGCATCTCTAGTCCTTTTCTGATGCTTATCTGTTAAAATCTTGATCTGTTTGCTGTGTATATCCAAATCAGGGAAAAAATCTCTCAGATCTCTCTTTTCTACATTAAAAGATAGATTTCTTAGGTGTATGTAATATTCCTGGCTAGGAGATGAACGAGAATGTGTTCTTTGTCTCCTTGGTGATCTTGAACGAGAATGCTTCCTTGAATGCATGTAGCCTGAACTTCTTGGAGAATGGTCTTCACACAAAAAGTCATCCATTTCATCTGGCATGTCTATCCTTCCACCACATTCAATCCACCGTTCCTCTGTAGTTGGGCTAATTTCTATAAACCTCTGACCCATGTATTGTCTATGACGTTTAAGTCCTTCTAAGGCATCACCAGGTGTAGCACATTTTACCAAGCAATCACCATTGTTTAAACCATTGCGGTGCTTTATCAGAATCACTCCATCCACATGTATCCCCGAAAGGAAAGTACGTACTTCAACTTCTGTTGCAGAGTAAGGTATACCCCGTAGAAATAAGTAACGATCATCTGGGTTAAACGGGTGAGAATCCTTTCTTAACTGATAGTTTGACTTAGGTATACCCATATCACCATATCTTGTGCCGTTAGTATGGAAACCAGCCTCCAGGCGATTTGCTGGCCCATAACTAGGTTTTCTTATTACTTTTGGAGAAGCTGTAACTAAATGTGGTATATCTCCAATACTTGATGTACTAGAACCATTAGTACCTGTTCTTCTAGAGCCAGACATACTTTCTCGTCCCCCACGGTCAAATCGTTTCCGACTCATTTCTATGGTACTCTGCATCTCTGCCTTGCTGCTGAGAAAGAGCTCTATGCGCGAGTCCTTGATAAACCTTCCTGAACAGCTCATGGCACGCCGTGCATCTTCATCTGTTGCAAATATAATAAAAGCCTCCCCAATCTCTCCTCCAATAATATGCACACCTCCATCAGGAATATTCAATCCCAAGAAGAAACGACGAATATCTGGAGGACCCGCAACAACAGGAAGCCCCTGTAAACGGATGACTACAGCCATGCTGAGCTCAACCCACAGCAAAAATCACCTGCAGACAAAAAGGTACACATGATAGCACGTCTTTAGTACTCAGCTATTACAGTAACTTATCACTTAAGAAGCTAGAGCCTTTTTAATGAATGCCCTCATCTCATCAAGAGAGAAGGTATCAACCCACAAGTTCACGAGAACAAGATTGAAACACAATTCACTGAAAGTGGATTAGACAGAACAATTAGCTACTCCACTGGCACGCATGCACAAATCTATCAATATTCCCTACCCTAAGGGCAACAAAATCCACCTAAGTCACTCCTCACCATCCACAATACCTAAAGAACACCTCAAGTCTTTCACAGCTTAGTTACTATATGCCAGAGATCTCTGCCCACTCCTAAAGAACAAAAAAATCCAGTTTACTTTTGAATAGGACACTAGCTGATAAAAGGAGAAAGGAAAAAGAATAACTACGTCACTGCAAAATGAAGTACTTCACAAACAGTACAGGCTTTACTGCTTTGACAAGTTGCTCTACCCAGTGATCAGTTCTGTTCAATAATGTATGTTTTCTCAGCATTCAAAAATGTTGTCTCTTTGGCGTAGTCAGAGTATTAACTGCAGCGGCCACAAGCATATCCTAGTTGCCAGCCACAAGTCTGTGAGGAAAAAAGGCTGTGTATGATCTTGTCACAATACTCAGTGAGAAGTGTTAAGCTTTTGGCAGCTTACCTGTTTCTGCTTTGGAGACCTGATAAATTCTGTAAAATCAACTTAACTGTGGAAAGAAAACGAAACATAATTAATGGCTGATACCTGTACTTTGCTTTACACACTGTGCTACACTGCTGCAGCCCATCCATAGCAGTGGCTAATACTAAAGCCAAGCATGTTATGAACCCATGTGAAGAACTCCTTCCATGTTCCAAGATGCCATGCACTGCATCTTTCTGTTTCCATTTTAGAAGCAAAAGAAATTCAGAGTTTAAGTTGACTTCTGGAAACGATGAAAATATGATGAGATTACTTGGTCATCAATTGTGCCACACTGAACTGTTGCAATGAAACAGACTGACAGTGTATCAAGGGAACAATTCTCAATTGAGTTCTTGAAAGGTGCTTAGGTCCATTTTAGGATTAAAAGACATGTCCATTCTTCTGAAATCCACCTGGTTTCAAATTTCACAACAAGAGTACGCTGCTCACCAGTCCAGCACTGCACTTAACGTACACCGTGAAGACCATCAAATGAAAGACCAAAAATATCCAACAAGGTGAAACTTCAGGAAGCACCTGAATTTACAAAGCCAACTTCAGTATTTTCTCTATATCCTTACTCTACTGCCTTTCAAACATAAGAAGAAGAAAAGCTTGAATACACCAACTGAACACACCCTGATTTTCAACATTTTCTAACATCACACAGTAAATAGCACAATATTCTCAGAACAAACACAAGCCTCTGTAGCAAATTACTGCATCACTTTAAAACAACCACAACCCAGTGCTCTGACCATTTGAGAACACTCCTCCTACAAACCTTGCTCTATAAAGCACTAGATCCTGATGACAAGTTATTTATCAATAACCATAACTGTCACTCCACTTGAACTTAGCAAAACAACAGCAAAGCCCAAATTCTGTCACTAATGGACTCCACATCACTTCTGCACCAGTACATAAGCACAACAAACCGAAAACAACTGCCCATTTAGAAAGTTCACTAAAGACCATCTGTCCTCTGTACTTTTGTGGTGAGTCGACCCCAGCCAGCAGCCAAGCACCCACACAGCTGATTGTTCACTCCTCATCCCCATCAGTGGGATGGGAAAGAACAAAGTCAAGAAAACGTGTGTGTCAAGATAAAGACAGTTTCATCAGCAGAAAGAAAAACACAAAAAGGAAATCGCCACCTCACGCAGGCTGACTGATGTCCAGCCTTCTTCCAATCCTCCCAAAGAAACCAAAACCAACAAAATACTTCTTCCTCTACCTCAGTTTTTGTTGCCCAGCACGATGTTACATGTCACAGAATATCCCTTTGGTGAGTTTGAGTCAGCCCTCCCAGCTCCTCACCTACTCTGTGCACACTCACTGGAGGAACAGAGTAGGGAAAATAGGTACAGCCTTGATACTGTGCAAGTGCTGTTCAGCCACAGCCAAAACATCGATGTGTTGTCAACATTCTTTCAGCCACAAATCCAAACTGAACTGTATAGGCTGCTGTGAAGAACGTTAACTCCATCCCAGCCAGACCCAGAACACTTTACAACGTGTCTTCTCAACAGATGCAATGGCAGTGCCAAAAAGCATGGAGAATTCAAGGGCAGAATTTTCATACAGCACCTTCGTGTCTTGAAAAAGCAAATCCGCTGCCCTGCTACTTCATGATGTATTTAATCTGTAGTATTTCTGGATTCACAACTCCGCTTTCTTATCCCAATTTTTAAACATCATTCACAACAGCTCTCCTCCATAATTCTTCGGTGATAAACTGCAAGTTCTCCACGATGCACCAGGGATACCATACAATACACAACCTTCCGTGGTGAAAACCAGACACAGTGATTCCAGATCATAATGTGATCTCTAAGAAGTCCATAAACAAATGCAAGTTCAAATAATAGCTCTTACTGACTGTAAACAATCACACATGAGTAGAAAGCAGAGACAAGCCATCCAACAATTTAAAGTGCATAACCCAAGAGAGTTGACTTGTCATGAAAAGTAAGAGCAATTCATTAACTGAACGACTTCAGAGAGCAAGGATTTGGAGAATAAATAAACAACTTCATGCCACTACTTAAAAGCACAGAAGTGTACAGTTTTATGAAATTTTATATATAAGCAAAATTGTCTAGAAAACAGTACAATACCTATTCTTCCACAGCCTCGGAAAATTCCAAACATTAAAGACATTAAAATAATACACAACTTGTAAACACAGTAGGAAACTAAGTCTGCACTAGACTAGTATTTTTATCATAACACTGGAAGATTACACAGACTGCAAGCTAGAAAGAACCCACAGAAACACCCCGACTACGATACTGGACCAGTGTAGAATAACCAGCGAAACAGGGGAAGGTTTCTTATTCTATTCTTCAAAATGAGCCTTAATAGAGGAAGCAGACTGCTGCGAATAGCAGTTTTTACAGTGCTGAAGGAAAACATGAGTGAGCTCTGCAGCTGGGCCCACTACACAGTCGAGTGTAGCACGGAACCGCTTCCAAGCAAGTCGCTCCGCCGGCACCAGCGCTGCTGGAGGAACCCGCCGCGGGCGGCAGGGCAGGGGACGGGTGAGGGGGACGGGGCGAGGGGTCCGGTGCTCCACCGCCACGAAGGAGCCCCTCTGTTTCCCAACACCGGGACAGGGCTGAGGGAGGCAGCGGGAACGGGGAAGGGGGATGTGAAGCCCAGGGACATGAGGAGGCCGGGGCAGACGGAGCGGCTGCGCAGCGGTTCCGAGAAGGTCGGGCAACCGAGAAACGGCAAACTCCGCGCCGCCCTCAGCCACACGCCGCACCCCGGGGAGGCGTGCTCTGTCCCTCACGCCATTCATCCACGCACCCACCGGACACGCCGCTCGGATGGGGCCCGCAGCTCCCGGCACGGCTCCGCCAAGATGGCGCCGCCTCCGCTGGCCCCCCTCAACGCTGAGGGGAAGCTGCGCTGCGCGAGCGCTTCCGGCCAGCGAGAGCGGGCCTGCGCGCGCACCCTCCGGGCGGGGCGCAAAACGCCGCGGCCCTGTGACCCCATCCCCGCGCTGCAGCCACGCGTGCGCGGACCGCGCGCCCCCGTCTGCGCGCGGGCGGGAGCCGCTCCTCAGGCAGTGCGCATGCGCTCTTTGCCCTGCAGGCGGATGTGCAGTCTCCGTCTGTAGGTCTGAGGGAGCTGTGTAATAATAATTTGTATGATAATAGATATGCATAGTGATATACCTGTGCGGTGATAGACCTGCATCTAGAGATCGGTCGCACGGTGACGGAGCGCCGCTGCCGCGCTGTGCGCTGTCCTCAGGCTCATTCCCGTCGGTGCTGGTGCGTGCCGAGCCTCAGGCACCACTCACCGCTGCTTTTCCAATGCCTAGACACGATTTCTAAGGCAGCTCGGGGCTGGCTCAAGCCCGGGTTGTGAGAGGAAGGGAAGGCTGGGGTTGGAGGAATGGAAGAGAAGGAGGAAATGTTCAAGATTAAGTAAAGTGAAGGGCAGATACAGAGTACTTAGGCTGTGCAAGTGAAGTATATTTGTTCTAAAGTTTATCCTAACTACCTTCCCTGTCTTTATGTGTTCTCCCCTGTCTTTCTATGCATATCCAGTATACTTATCTGCTCCGACTTACCTGTCGGAGGAAAAACCTGTACTATTCATGGTAGATTCAGCTATCGGTGTTGCCGACTTTACGAGCTCTCTCAACACAGAATCTTGTTTAGAAAAATACCATTGTTTATTCTGGGTACAAGATGGAGGTTTCGACAAATCAAGCACATCGGTAAAAAGTTACATCTTTACACAGTCAAATTTACATGAACTTGAGTCTGGGGACAGATAATTTGACTTGAAAACATCAACTCAACCTTTTAACACTCGTTGAGCCAACAAAATAAATACAATAAGAAATAAAACGTGCTAATATCGAAAATCATAATAGGCAATCAGCACATAGGAGAGGGACAATGAGAAATAACTAAAATCCAGGACACGGTGTCTTGCAAAGTTTTGGTAACATCTGAGGGAATGAGATAAAAGGCAAGAGGCAGAAACATGCACAGAAAGTTCCACCTGAGCATGGAGAACTTTACTCTGTGGTTTCACTGGAACAGGCTGCCCAGAGAGGCTGTGGTGTCTCCCTCACTATAGATATTCAAGAACTCCCTGGTCTCAATGCTGTGCCATGAGCTCTGGGATAATCCTGCTTGAGCAGGGAGACTGGACCAGATGACCCACAGTGCTCCCTTCCAACCGGACTCATTCTGTGAACAAGAGTGTGGCAAAGGTGTAAAGAGGAGTAACTTTGGCTGAGCATCCATTGCTCTAGGCATTTTGTGTTTTCACCTTGTTACCACTTTCCTCTCTGGGGAGAAATTACAAACGCGTGTTACATATGTATATACACAAATGTACATTGTGTACGAGTTCTAGGGACAAGGTACCGGAACGTGCAACCCGGGCTTCGGCATCCTCTCATTTTTCGCTCCTGACCTCGCACAAAACGAACAGAACTCCCTGTGGACCAAATACCTAAACTAGGGCTTCTGCTCCCTCCCCCGGCCCGCTTCGCGTGCTGCGGCGGCAGGCCCCCGGCGCTCGCCGTACCGCGCGGCCCTGGCCAATCGGCGCGCGCGGGCGGGGCGCGCGGTGGCCATGGCGACGCGGGGCCGCGGGGCCGGCGCCGCCGCGCTGCTCATGGCGATGTCGACGGCGCTGCCCCTCGCCCGCGGCTTCTCCGTCCCGCTCCAGCGCCCCGCCGACTGCGGCGCCGACCGCTACTTCGACAGCTCCCGCCTTGCCTGCGCGCCCTGCGGGGCCCACCAGCGGCAGAGTGCCGGCGGTGAGCGATGGGGGAGGCGGGGCTCGGGTGGCTCCGCGCTGAATCCGCCCCCAGAGCGGGAGATGCGGAGCCGGGGCTCAGGTTGTGGCGGTAAAACAGCCCCCCTCGAACAGGTCTGGGGAAGGAGCGAAAGAGCCAGGGTCCTGCAGAGACCTAAGAGGCCCTGGCACAGCTGTGATGTATCTGAGATACAGCTCAGAGAAATTACTTTCAGCCTCTTTCTAATAACCTTTATTTCCTCAAGCATTATATTGTACTTGCATTTTCATCTGTAAAATTCCACAGGACCCTGAATTTATGTTCTAGAACACTTCTGTGACTTGAAACTCCTTGTCAAAGTTGGATGTCTGAGATACCAAGTGTGAGATTCTCAGGTTGTGCCTATGTTAGTCTGAGTCCCACGCGAGAACTTGGAGCACATACAACACAACCTGACAGTACTAAATGGAAAATACAGATAGTTGGCTGCTGTCTTTAAGGCATAAGGAGGTATTAAAGTGTCCATCTTTTATACACAGTCCAACAAGATTGGGAGTTCCTTCTTGTGTGTACAAGTCTGAGACTAAGACCCAACAGCATCTCTCTTCAGAACTGCTACTTCAGTCGGAAGCAGTGATGTGGATCACTGTGTTCACAGCTGCTGCATGAAAGCTGCTCACCTTTTCCACCACCAGCACCAGGGTCCTCTAAAGACCAATCCCATAGTTCACTTATTGGAAAAAAGTACTCTATTTGTTTTCAGATCCCCTGATAACATGGGTGTCTAGATCCATAACTCTCTTTTAGGCTGAATCTTTCCCTAAATAAAGGGCTTCAGGGAGAGGAAAATTCCAAGGGGGGGGGGTCAAGGGTTTATTTTTTCCTGCAGATCTGACTGGAGCAGTGTAGGTAGGTGCCACTCAGTGCTGTTTGCATCTTGATTGAATTCCACTTGTGATTGCCCATACACTCCCTGGTTAGCTCATCAGTCTGGATTCTGCCTTCAGGTGACATGCCTAAAAACCTTGGTATTGTCACTGTGAGTGTCACAACTCGAACTTTTCATTGATCTAATCCAATTGGACTTCAGAATTAAGTATAAATGGTTGATCACTTTGACAAATGTTTCTGTACAGCTGGTCTCATCAGAATGTACTTTAAGGTTATAAAATTTTCCACAGAACTTGACATTATTTTTGCCTGCACAGTTCAAAACAACCTTAAATAATAAAAACAGTTTATTAGTACATATAATCAATTTTGGTTTGTGATATTTGTTTAAAAGTACAGAGGGAAGTTCATGACACTGAGACAGGAAAAGTTTCTAAAAAAATATTGTGGAGCACTACCAGATGGGCATTATATGTGCCATAAAAATAGTGTTTAATTTCATACAAAATGTTAAGTTTATTCTGTTCACTCACTGAAAACCATTCAATCTAAACCTTGATCCCCATGGACAATTTTGACAGCCTTGAGTTTAAAACAGCTTTTAAAACAGTTTTATATTGGAAAACCTTTTCATACAAACACATTTTGGTTTTAGGACTGACTTCAAATTGAAAAAATAAAACCTTTATACAAACATATAATGCTGGTGTCAGTCAGCCTTGTAACAGTCTCTTAAAACGTCTGTGTGCAAACTGTAACGTGGGCATTTTTTAAAAGCATGGTGATTTTCATTCACATCTCACCCAAATGTTTTATGTTCCTGTCTAATAATCCATTTTGATCTCTTGAGAGCAACAGTAGTTGTTTTTAGTATTCTGTTACAACCAGACAGTTTTATATAGATTAAATGTGCATTTGTTTTGTTTTCTTCAGGTAGTTCCTGTGTATGTGAGCCAGGATACAGGATGGTCTCTAGTAATGGTGGGTTCTCTGTTACTTGTGAAAAATGCCCAGAAAATATGGTAGGTATTGAATGTTTCATGTTTGCCATAATGATAAAATACTAATCATAACCATTATGGGGTTTTAAATTTTAAATTTTATTCTGATTGCAAGTTATTTTTCATTAATTTAAAATATTTTTGCATAATAGTCCTTGATTGGGAATTTTTAAGACCATGGTTATACATAGTATTTTTGTTCAATTTAGAATTGTCTATTTCTATTATTTTGCACACTTTTTTTCATTACAAATTTAACCCCACAGACAAAATAAGAATTTTCTCAAGTGTTTAAGTTCCTTCCACTGCTTTTCTTATCTGCTTTGTCCTTGCCCAGAGAGCACAACTGTATACAATGTTAAAGATGCTTTTTCAGGTCATAGGTATCTTAACTGATTATTTATGTACATACTATTATTGTAATATTTAGGCTGTAACTTTATAATCTGCAATCTTTCATCATTACTTCAAAATAAGCTGCTCCTACTATGTTACTTTACTTATAATTATAGTTTGATCAGTTCTTCTGACCTTCCTTGGCAAATTAAGCTATAATTTTGTGTCATAATCTCAGCATTGGTCCAGAGACACCAGGCTTAACCAGATTTTCCCCATTATAGTAAGCAAAGAAATGTATTTTTCCAGCAAATCAACTTTTGAGGGTGAAGCCTTCCCGAATACTTCTTTCCCTTCACTAACTATAGAAGAACTCTCAAGAGAGCAGCTTACCTGCCTGAGTTAGGTGTTCAATGGCTAATGGGCTGTGTAGGTAATTTCCCTTTTCTTTCCATCTTCTTGCTGTGTTAGACAGCACTTTGGCACATATCCTTTCGTGTTGTGATCTTTTGCCTTTTCTTTGTGTTTCCTGCAATGGTGGCATTTGCCTTTGATCTACTGCCAAGGCTTTTGCAAAGAGAAAATGATGGTAGCGGAGAGGGGAGTAACATCAGTAGCACTTGAGGAGAAGCAGTTATCTTCGTTTTCCTCCGTGGTTTTTATCTGTAGTGAAGTTACTTCATAGTATGAAATAGGTGTGGATGTGAACTGTCTGGGTAGGTACAAAATTCCAAACAATTATATAAACTGCTTCACGTAGAACTCTTCTATTTCCATTACTTCTGTATGTTTATATGCAATTGCAATATGCAATTTATATGCAAAATGTCTGTGTATGCATTATTATGCTTATTCAGTGTATCTCTTTTTAACATTCTACTTTTAATTTTCCCTGAAGGATTTAAGTTAACAGGTTTGGAAGAGCT